TACATTCATTTTTATATCAAAAGTAGAGTATGGCGAGCTGCGTTGAATGGCGCAAGAACGACGTTTCTAGCTCTTACACTTTTTGAGAAAAGCTCAAATTACTGTGTCAAAAATGTGACAGCGTCACACTTGGACAATCCGTCGATCGGACGTATGCTCCGCAGTTGGCAACAAGGTGGAAAAAGATGGGGGGTACCCTTAATGACCAGGCAAGATAATCTACTTCCGCAAGATATGATCTCATTAGGACAGATATACAATGGACAATAGTTTTCATTTTCTTCACCAAGGTTAAGTAAGGATATCATTGAGGTTTCTGAAGATACAGAATTGGAGAAAAAACTGTTGTCAGACATTTTTGACGAATGGAATGATAAAATTTCTTTGTCCAGTATATCTAAATAGTGATATAAAGATAGGCCTGTTAATATGAGCGAAAATCTCTTTATTATTCTATCCAATTGTCAATATTTAAGTATTCATATAACTGATCTTGATATACTAATGTCAACTCTCACATCCCAAATTCTGATCGATGTTGCCATGTCAATAACGCATGGAGTCTAAAAACTACCGAATATCTCAGAAACAAAACATTTCTAAGAAAACTTTTACTGGCAAGCTTATCACGCTGATTCGGGATATCGCCTTAGTTTTGTGAAAAAATACATTTTCTGATGATGAAAATGGCAAAATACTGCTGGTTTTTGCTATTTTTTCTTATTTTTCAAAACTTTGGCCATATCGGCAAGTTTTTTTTTGACTTTCGTCAACGCAGTTTTGTAGAACTTCTTGGGCTCGATCGACTCAATCAAGAACTATTTGTGGTTGAAACCTTGCTGGTGGCAAAAAAATGAAAATAAGAGCGTGACAAACCAGTTTTGGTAGCATTTGACCTATATCTCGTCAAGAAAGTATTTTCACTTAGCATGTTCTATAGCACTATTGTAGATCTAACCAAGAACTATCGGTTACATGATAGTAGGTGCATAGTCATGGTCTGATTGATTCATAAAATGTTACATATTAGTGGAATGGCGATTTTTCATTATTGCTTTTTAGATGGTAGCTTTTTTCAAGACGATCAAAAAATATCAGTCACAGATTCATATATATTTGTTTTTTTCTTTAAACTAGAATTTTTTAAGTGTAGTGTTTTCTAACAATAGTTAAAAAGCAGATGGAGGCAAATACAAGGAAGAAAAAGCGTTTTGGAATGGTATAGAATGGCCCATTCCAGGCCGTTCCATACCATTCCGCCTTTTCCCCCTTGGGCAAATCACGCGCATCCACATTCATGTCTTCAACAACGCGAAAATAACAGCAGAATAAGATTGTACAGGAAGAAAAGAAGGCTTGAGCAAAAAGAGAAGTCTCTGCTTATATGACAATCATTTGTGTCAAACACTGTACACCTACACCTACATCAAGACCAAAATCGATCTGTCTGTGTAATAAACGCAAGAATGGCTTCGTAGACTAAAAGAAAATTTTCTTTACGAAGAGATCTTATTCTATCATCACGCAACAAAAATGATCTAGAAAAATGCGATCAACGTCGAGAAAACCAGCTAATGTATCAAATAATTTTTTTTCTATGTTCAGTATATAGGCCATAATTCGTGAAAAAATGCTTAATAGTTTTCTTTCTAGCTCCACAGTCGCAACTCCGAGACAGCACTAATTGTCTAGTATTTTTGCCCAATTTGATCAGTTTTATCGTTTTGCAAGCAAAAGTTTTCTTAGAAATGTTTTGTTTCTGAGATATTCACCAGTTTTTAGACTCGATGCATTATTGACATGAAAAAATGTTGTTCAGTCTACTGTCTACACAATAAACTTCTTTCATCTAAAAAGTAGTAGTACGGGAGTGTGTGGCTATCATTCTACGTTAAAATTCTGAGGGGGTCGATACCAATATATGTTGACTCCCATTCTTTGTTAAAAGCACATTTCTGGAAAAAAAAAACAGTAGGAGGTACCCAGTACCGAACTTTTTCTCAGAATCTTAGGTTCTTCCCATGTCCTCGAAATCGCTTCGGTTTGGATGATTAATCGTGATTTTGCAAAATATTAACGATTAATCGCGATTTCGACAAAAAATCGCCGATTAATGGCGATTAATTGGTAATTTTTCCAGAAACCACGATTTATCCCCATTATCAAAAATATCGCCAGTTAATCGCAATTAATCGGCGATTTTGTTATGTTGACGCTAAATTACGGCTAAATCAGTTATTTACTTAACTTAATATTTTTCAACTCAGAGAAAGAGAAAATAGCTATTATGAGGGATTTGTTGAGCTCGAACCGATTTAATAATAGGTGTCGTATGCTATAGCATAGAAGTTTCAGCCTCATATTTTACTGGCTGATAAGTCTGCAAAAAAATCGGCAAACGGATCGATTTTATCGCGATAAAGCGCACAATTAATCGGTCCATAAATCGCGATAAAATCGTCGATTTTTCCGCGATTTTCATCACATGGGAAGTTAGAGCAAATTAGAGTTTCATCACAAGTTGTGACGAAACTCCAATTTTCTGTTGTGACTCACAACAGAAATTCGCAGCATGTGCGAGATGGATAGAAGAAGTAGATATGCCTTATTTGATACGGCTCTCGTCTAATAAGCTATTAACCGAGGTAAGAAAAAAGATCTGTTTGTAGTATTCTTATTTCCGTGTGATCCTTGTATTACCGGCCTTTTCGAAGAAAGTTGCGTCGTAATACCTATCCAAAGCAACAGTTTTAGGTTTAACAATATAACAGTCGTATTTGTGTCTTCTTCACGAATTGAAATCTTAAGGTAGTCAGAAGACAAATCCAGCTTGGTAAAATACCTCTAGGTTTCATGAAATTCAAAATAATATCTTCAATGGATGGCAATGGATACGAATCTTTCTTTGTCACGTTGCAGAATTTACGATAAACGTGCATCAAAACGGTAAGTTCTATATTTGTTCTTCAGTAGCACACCTGTCGAAGACTACACGAACATCGATAATCGAGTTTGATAATCTTGGAGCATTCAAAAGATAACTCTCCGAGGTTCCTTCTTCCTTCCTTTATTTGTGATAAGACTGAGTATTTTGCGGTAAATTTTCAGGGGTTCCAAAGATCACCCAGACGTTTTCCTAGAAAACTCAATCTCCATAAAAGTTTCAAAAACTGAGTTTTCTGAAAATAGTAACGATCGGCGAGAATTAAGTTGTGAACAAAATGATACCATTTTATGTTCATATTCGAATAACTCCATAATAAATAATCACAGAGCCATCGCGAAAGCCACATTTTGTTCAGAATTTAATCCCCCAACCATCTTTATTATTTATTTGCACGAAAATCTGGTTTTGAAAAATCTTACATCGCTTTTTACCCATAAAACCACATTTTTATAGATTTTGAGTGAAAACTGTCGGCTTTATGACAAAACGACTTAGCCCATTTAAGCTAAAACTGTGTGAATTTCAAAGAAAATCAGTTATTAGAGGGTACTTTGACACTTAGAGCAAGCAGTTGCGGGTTTCATAGTTTTGATATTTTTATTCATATTTAAATATGAAAAACTTATTAAAAACTAGTTTTATTTATTTTTGGATTTCGGTTAGATGACCAAAGCCGAAATACAAATACTTTTTCCTTGTTTTCTTTAATGTAAACTTTATTTTATGTTATCAAAGGGATCCATTAATCTTTTCACTTTGATTATGTATAGTTGATTTTTCACACGCTTTTCTTTACGAAACCAGCAATCCAATTCAATCTTTTAAATTAAGAAGTTTATATAAGCCGACAAAGCTTAAGTAATTAGAATGAAATTTTAGTGGAAGAAATGTGTCACAGATGAACTGAATTGATGAGAAAATATATCCTCCCCCGACAGGCACATCAGAATATCAGGTACAGTTTCCGAAACGTATTCCAGCCCGGTTCTCGCTCATTCTAATCGATCTGGCAGACGATTTGGTAGTCACTGAAAACACTAATAACATCCACCTTTTGCATTCATCTGTCGCTGAGGCTGTTTCGCATCCAGTTAAAACTTCAGTTCGGATCAGAACACATGCATTTTTCAACTCTGCTCTGCGTAAATCAGACAGTGGCGGTTCTCTTTCTTGACACCTAAGTGTTTCTGATCAAGGTTTACTCGACATAAGTGTGCTGTATTTCTCGCCTGATGTGTTTTCCACTGAAACCTTTGATTAAAAAGATAAAAAATTTACAATAACTTAAAACATATGTCAGTAGTTAAAAAACTTAGTTAAGTTGATCAGACGAACGTACTTTGTATATACAATTTGTTTTTCTTATAGAAAGTGTGTCTTAACTAATGAATTACTGATATAAAGTCTTTGTTTTTCTCAGAAAAATCCATGATGGTGATGGTGTGAACCAAAGCCACCACCATAACCCGGCTGGTATCCGTAGCCGTACGGTGCACCATATCCACCTCCATATCCACCTCCATACCCACCATATCCACCTCCATTATTATAAGGATTTCCAAAACCCCAAGTACCGTATCGATGATGATGGTACAGTTCATAGGCACCCAAGCCTAGCGCACCACCAATAAGCAAATCTTCTCCCAAGCCCATATTCACTTAAACTATTCAAACAAATAGAGTTTACTTATACTTTGCTGCAAAGTAGATGGCTTGCACGTGTTCACTAATAAGTGAAAAGAATAATAGCGTTTGCTTGTGTTTCTGATTTATTTATATCTATAAAATAAGTGTTATCATTGCATTTTTACAAAAACTGACGCCTCACCTTGATAAATCAGGTATTATAATCATCGAACAGGACAAAAGGCAATAAAATCATATCATGACGCTGACATGAACCGTTACCGTAGCAAAGAACGCATGGCTGCAACTTACGAGTTAAGCAAAAGAAACTTCACGTTGTGACTTACTTGTTTTTTGTTTATCTCTTCTATACATCAACTCCTATACACTAGACTTTACAGTCTCGAATAATTTTGAAAAATGTTATAGACCGAATACATAGGTTTTGGTTTTGATTTTGTTTTTTCTATACTACATTCTATTGTAGGCTTTATTTTTTAGAGAAAAATTATTCTGAAAATAGCTACTATTTAATGCATATATGTGGTTAATTTGTTTGGGTGACGTGTTTTATAAATTATAAAAAGTTAGAAACAAATTATGCACGCAAGAGGCAGGAGCGAGAATCGTGTGGTTGCAGATAGTTCAGATGACTCTCAACCCAGCTAGCTTCATCTCAACAATTATAGCCTAGGATGAAGCGTTTACGGAGATTGTGATATAGGCTGATCACTCGGCTAATCGATAAATCGGCTTAGCGTTCGAAATCCAACAAACTGCCTAGACAAAAATATTTTGCTAAAATTGATAAAAATCTTATCAGTTTCTTATCTAAGATTGTTTAAAATTTCCCATCGAAAGTCGCAAGTGTCTTATGAGAATTTTATAAGAGGTTCGTAACAAAAACATAAGAAGTACCAAAAATTCTTATTATATTAATATCTATTAGAATGCAGCTTATGAGTCGGCTTTTGCGATTTCTGTTATGCTTAAGTTACTTCTACTTGCTCTCAAATCTTTTCGAGTTACTAAGTGGCCATATTGGTCATTTGTTCTGATGGCTTGTGAATTCATAGAAACGTTATTTTAAAAATATAAAAATTTTACTACGATGTATTAACTGGTTAATCGGGCAATATTTTACACGTATAACTTACATTCCTATCTAAAAGGTTAAAGTATCGGCCAGCTGAATGGAATATTACGAGCTCAATCGTCGTTAACTACGATTTATCTTTTTTATGAAAATCTTATCGGATTCTTATGAGACACTTACGACTTTCGATCCGAAATCTTAAACAAACTTATATAAGAAACTAAGATCCTTATAAGAATTTCATAAGATATTGATACGAGACTTATATGCTTCTGGGAAGATTCTTACATAAGAATCGATCACTAGCATGGAGCAGTTAAAATCGTTCTATACACTCATTTTCCAAAAGCACCCTTGCAAACATTATCTATGTAAACTATAGAACTGATTTCGTTGATCATATTTTTTTCTGCGTAAATTACAACGTGAAGTTTCTTTTGCTTAACTCGTAAGTTGCAGCCATGCGTTCTTTGCTACGGTAACGGTT